TGTCTCGGATGTCCAGGAAAACAAGGACAGTGGGCTGGCGGTAAAGATGACGCGTTTCAAGGAGTTGGCGGAGCGTAGACATGTGGTCTATACACCCTCGACAGGGGCGGAAACCAACCAGTTCTTCATGGGAGCGCAATTCTCGAATCGGGATTAGTCTGCGGAGTAGAATGGATGTTATACCTTGGAGACAACGGACAGTAGACTGATGCCACAGTGGTTAGCGCATAGGGTACGGACACCTTTCTTGAAGATCGGGACGACAATTGACTCGTCGCAAGCGGATGGAACTGTTTCTACACACCATGTCTAAGAGAACAGGGCTGTTAGCTGGTTAACAATTACTTCGCCCCCGAACTTGAACAGCTATCAAGGAAGTCCGTCTGGGCCAGCAGACTTTAATCGCTTCAAGAGTCGGAGCTCAAGCCAGACCTCAGCTTCAGTGGGTGGTTCCAGTGATATGTTCCAAGACGCGCAACTAGGTAGACTCAATAAGCTCGCCGGTAGAGGCCAGCTGAATTGAGTGCGGAAGTGTTCAGCCCAGCGATCCATACGTCTGTGTAAGTTGCATATCGGCGTTCCGTCAACCTCGCACATGACCTCACTGACCCCGGGTCTTCTGTGACCAGTGGCCAGATTGACCTGGAAGAGCTTGCGAAAGTTTCCAGAGAGGACTGCGGTTTCCATCTCTGAGAAGCGCTGGGACCACCTAGTTTCGAGATCCACACGCAGGCTTTGCTTAAGTTGTTGACTGAGAATGTGAAGCTATGCGCTGCTATGTGAATCGGCCGGGATAGCTCTACGACGATTAAACAATTCCAGTGAGTGTGCGGAAATCCAGCCCCTCAGAGGGCGCCTTGTGATTCCGCAGATTGAATGACTGAAAGATAGCATCGCTTTACGCAGTAAACTCCAATGGTTTTCAATGTCTTGAGGTGGAGCCCCAATGAATGCATACGATAAGGAAGCGTGATAAGTTGATCGAGTAGAGAGGTCAGCTAACTTGTTGGTGTTGAGCGTATGGAGCTTTCGTTTTGAGGAGCCGCCGAAGCGCAAGTAGATGTCTGCGCAGACCAAAGCATGATCTGAATCGAGGTACGTAGACCAAATCGATCTATAACCCTGGACGCTGGCTCACTATCTAAAGCTGACTGCAATATGATCTATTTGTGACCACGCTAACGTTGGTGAAGGACGCCAGGTGGCTGTGCGTCTTCTGGTATGCCTAAAGTCCGTACTTGAGAGAAACAGACGGTCTTCGCATAACGTAAGCAGTCTATCACCGTGGGCAGAACGGCTGTCATCAAGCGCGTGACTGCTACCAAGATGAGGTTCATACGGAAGCAGGCGACCTACTCGTGCATTGAGATCTCCGGCAAGGGCGATGACATCTGACTATTCGGCCTTATTCAAAATCTTGTTGAGTCCACGAAAAAAGTTATCCTTAACCGATGCACAGCTGCAGTCGGTCGGAGTGTAGGCAGAAAGGACAAACAAATTGCGCCTCTCTTCACGATATCTGTTGATTCTACATGAGCCTTGAAGTCGAACCGCACACAGCCAGCTATTGATTAGAAACCAGTCAAGTAATGCAGCCTCCGCTTTGTCACTCAATAAGATACCGACACCAGCTAGGCCGGCTGCTGCTGCCTCCATGTCACTAGACAGACGTAGCTAATATGTTAGTGGTCTGAGTGTTCGCTGAGCTCGGTAGTTTGACTGCAAACGCTTCGTACCGCGCCGCTCTGCTAAATAAACGCGCACTGACGATGTCACCCCGAGTGGTGATGAAACGTTTGCTGTCAAACTATCGAGCTCAGCGACTACTCAGACCACCAACTGAACAACCTGAACTATCAACATTTGCTTCTATATAGTAAGTAATATGTGGTCTCAAGAGCAGCTGGGGACGACAACTTAACCACGGTGCTGGGGTCTTGTAGTCAAGTCTCTGAAAGGTAACAAACGTCGACAGCGAGGGACCCAAGAGTGCGCGCCAGGCCAGCCTGCTGTCCAATCTGCACGAGGGTCCGAACATTGAATGCTGCCAGACGGAATGAACTACGAGGTCGAAGGACAGACGGTGACCAGAAAATTTGGATATCAGCGAGACGGGCAATGGAAGTAGATTCAACAGGTTGTGGGTTATCAACAAGCTGAAAGTTAATGTGTGATGGAGAAGTACGAGTAGCGGGGAAGTAGCAGCAGAAGTAAACGATGTAGTAGTAATTGCGAAATAAATGGTTTTCATGGAGGGCACGATACTACCCGGTGGCCCAAGCCGAAGTAGGGAGTTGTCTTAGGGGACTACTGTTGTGTCGAAGCCCCACGACTGCTTCCACCCACTGACGGTAGTGAGAACACCAACGACAGGGTAACAAACAATGTTCACGCAGCACGCCAAACCGGCCACCAAGCGTCTGTCTGGGCAAAGCAATCGAATCTTTTCACATCAGCGCATATACAGAGGCTATGCGGAAAGACTGGCATTCAGTCAGTCAAGGCTGGTCAGTACAAAAAGCGGGGGATCGATAAATTGCTTCACAAACGAACGAAATACACACAAAGTATGATAAAAGCTAATAAGCGTAAGATGCAGTGTCCATACAAGTTAATCACAAATGTAAGGTAAAAGTGAACGTATGTGAGGGCAGGGTGAGTAGGGGTGAGTGGGGCAAAAATTACAAAACAACGACGAGCGGTGGAGTAATCTTACCTCCGCTACAACAACTACACCCCGAGTCTTTGGTGCAATTGCTTACCCGCAAGGCAGCGGAGAGAAGTCAAGGATTCGTACCCACTGGGAGCCGATGACTGATTGCTCAGTTCGTACGCCTTCGTATGGTGAGTAGCCAAACAGGGGCCCAATTTTCCCCACGATGTCAGCAGCAAAGTGCTGGGATACAATGCTTCGGCATGGTGAAACAAGGGGTAGTGACTGTGTTTAGTGGCGAGTCATATCCGCCACGTCGCAGTGTCGTTAAACGGACACATGTGGCTTTTTGTAGGCAGAACGCCTTTATATATATATATATATATATATATATATATATATATATATATATATATATATATATATATATATATATATATATTCAACACTACACCAATTACAATGTAATTGGCTGAGTGCCACAGCACATAAGAAAAATATAGCGTGAAAGGGAAAACAACTGTTAGGGTAGAGGAGTCTCAAAGCAAGTGCACCAGTGCGTACGGTCCTTGGCCATATCCTACAGCGTTTGCAAACAGTTGTGTCGTGGTCCTTTAGGCCCCAACCGGGGACTCGGGAATGCCCGACAACAGCCAGCTTCAACGTTTGCGCCTTGACGCATTGGATCCAAGTTTTGCATTGCCCTCCTTTTCGTCGCTGCCAAGCCACGCCTGTGTTCGAAAATAAGGCTCGTCGTGGTAGCCGCTGAGTAGGCATACGAGGCACATGAGCAAGCCAGCGAAACTGCCGCAATTAAATGAAACAATCAGTCGGTCGGCGGGGTTCGTTAGATCTGAAGACTCACCGACGGATTCCCTCATTACTGATGTGGTGCTGCCATCGAACACTAGCAATGCTTCACAGGCAGCAATGATCGAGGACAAATAGCCACTGAACATCACTTTTGCGAACGGGCCAAGTCTCACAGCCGTACAACAGAATCACTCGTACCGTAGCTTTATAGACTCGTCCCTAGAGAGCGAGGCTGAGATCACGACGAAGCCACAGGTAACGAAGGTTAGCGAAAGCGACTCTAGCCTTGGAGGCACGTAAGGATATCTTATCTGTCAAACCGCCCGTACTAAGACAACTCCCAAGATAAATGCATTTGTCGACCACTTCCAACATATGCTGCGAAAGGGTGAGAGAAGAACATGCGCTTGGCCAGTGCTGTAATAGGACCTTACATTTGGAAGGGGAAAAGTTCAACCCAAATTGGGCGGCGGACATCTCCAGTCTGAGCAGCACATGCTGGGCGGCTTGGGAGGACTCGCAAATCACAGCGATGTCATCGGCGTACACTAAGTCCCGAAGGAGCAGTTCAACACCGCATGACTCAGAGTTATCCAGGGTAGTATCCAGGAGCTTGTCCATGGCGAAGTTGAACAAGAATGGAGAGGCTGGGCAACCCTGTCTAACACCGCTAGTGATACTGAAAGGGGACGAACTTTCTCCGTATGCTCGCACGCGGAAGGAAATGTGATGGTGTATAGCACGGAAAATGCTGATGTACTTCTCAGGTACTCCCCTCTTCAGTAAGCAGTCCCAAAGAGCCAGTCTGTCAACAAAGTCAAAAGTGGCTCGAATATCCAAGAATATGACTATAGTCGGTCAACTGAAGGTATGGCGATGTTCAGGTACCTGACGGATCGTAAAGATGTGATCGAAGCAACTGCGACCCGGATGTTGCACACGCTACGTTTAATCAGACAGATATCAAATTGCAATTCCCAAGACGGAGAGAAATGTTGGGAAGCTGCACAACAGACACGCTAAGCAATGTTGGTCTGCAATGCTCTGTGAGGTGAGGGAACTACCATACTGGAGTCGTCAAATGGCTGCATACACGCGTCACGCAGCGGGTACCTTGGGATGTTCGTGGCATAGTAATACGCGTCTGACTTGAGATCTCCGCACCCATCGCTTCAGACTCCTATTTTCAACCTAGGTTTAAAGGTCATGGGAGTATCATAGCCCTCAAACAGCCGGCTGAGATGGAGTGTTAGCGACGTGTCGGTGATGCGTTGATAATATCTCCCCGCTTTAGTAACTCTACCCAGTAATAATTCGTTTGTCGGAACGAAAGGTGAGTAGAAATCCACAGTCAGTGGGGTGCACAAAACTAACGCATAAGGTTCACCGCAAGTGCGATGCCAATTTGGATCTCGTGGTTACGTGGATCCAAAGTCAGTCAATAAGAAGTGAATATTCACCAGCCTGGATGCATAAAACCGCTTCGTGTGAATGGAATTGAGTTGAACTGAAGGATACAGGAAAGAAAACTCACCTGATTGACCAAATTTTGGATATCTGCTCCCGTGTAACCAACGGTTCCATGAGCTAATTTGACGACATCGAGGTCCGACGTGGTCTTCACCTTTTGTAAGTACAGATTTAACAAAGCGACGCGACCCTAAAAAAAACAAAACAGAATCAGGAAAAAATATGGAGACGACTAAAGCAGCATGGAATGGCGTTTCGTCAATTTCTAATAAAAGACATAAGACCACCGCAAAACAAATTCCATTAAATTCGCTTAGTATGATAAAAATGTGACTTTTGCTTTCCATAACCGAACGTCATTCTGAGCCGAATAACGAAAGCAGAGAAAGAATAGACAGGCGGTTCATTACCTTAAGGATCATAAGCTTGCCTTGTAATCCGGAGGTCACGGGTTCGGACCTGCCTAGAGGTGGTTGCGCTGCAGCAAAGTGTACTGCGTACCGCTGATGCTTGAGCAAGTGGACATGCATCTAAGTTGCTCCGATGAAATTGGTTCGGTTACATGTGCGGAGATGCGCTACTTATCCCTGCGCGTTTCCGACATATTAAAGCTGTGCAATGTCCTATTCAGGTGCGATGCGCTCGAAATCTCTAATCCGCAAAGTGGCCGTCTGAAAAAAATTTTGGAACTCCGACAACAGTTTCGCATCGGCTATCGTCTAGGGCAAACTGTCCCAATAGTTGACTGATCGACGCTAGAAGCATATGGAGTGAGGTATAACGCTTCAGAACCGGTACTACGAGCTTGCAATAGTGCCCTTGTGTACTGCTTGGTACGCGCTTGTGAGCAGAGATAAGTACGGCATAGACTATATAGAAAACAACGCAGTCCAAGGACGATAAGTACAGCAGATGCACGCACCTCAGTGAGGCATAGCTGTCACGTGAAGGTGCGTGGTACAACGGCCTCCGATAGTCGCGCGCGTGGGTCGAGTGCATCGCGAGGTCGCCCGCACCTACCACTGAACCAGCCTTATCTTTTCCACCAATGACCAACAGACGGTGAGAATTCGTATGAAGTAAACGAGTTAAAAGATCCATTCAGTGTCAGTTCACCAATTATCATCCGTGAACCGAATAACGCTGGGACGAACCAGGACATAATTCAACAAAGTGGAATTTTCCAAGTAACGACTAATAAACACCACAACTAAATGTGACTGGGCCGAAGTTAATATCGTCAAACGGACTAACAAGGAGATAGAACCAAGAGGACGACGGATGAAGCAGTACCAATGACTTCCTGAATGTGTCATACTGAGATGGTTTCAAACCAATAGCTTGGACGACTTTCAGAATACTTGTTTCAATTCGCAGTTATGTGAATTTCTTCATATATATTGCGTCCTAATTGACCAACCACATTGGGGTTGCAACTACTTAGGTGCGGTATTAGCGAACAATATACTCCGAGGTTGGCAGGTAGAGCAGGTGACCGTAGGCGGTTCAACAGACAACCCAATGAGGCACCAGAGGTTTTTGCCTTAGAAGTCAAATGAGGAACTAACATAATACTCATTGGACTCTTCCCAATAGACTAGCAATGCTTCGGTGGCTCTTGTGATCAATTTAAACGGTTCTGGTCCGTGCAGTGACATCGACTACAATGAGGAGTTGTAAACAAATCAGGCGCATGTTTTGCCGTCGCCAAAAGTAACGGAGCTACTGAAGAGTCCCACGAGCTGCATCAATCCAAGCGGCAATCTCCACAGCGATACGATCATCAGAGGTGGTATAGTTACTTAGATAAGAAAATCGATCGATGATTTTGATGGGACGTTCTACGATAGTGAGACAAGAATTGCGTCAACCTCATCCATGGTGATCATAACAAGAAATTTTGTTGTTTTAAGGCGTCGGAACGTAACGGCATTGGATTGTCACCAATGACGTGACGTATAAAGAAGGCGGTTGCCCAAGTGTATATGAAGGGATTGCTGTATAAGAAAGACGAACGTCGGCTACGGAAGCGACAGGCACCGAGCCCATCGACGTCAAGCGCATGGTGCGGGATCACATGCGGTCGTGAGTGTGTCAGCAAAGCCAGTCAGGCAAGCCACCAGTGTGGTCATGAGGGGCCAATACCGAAGAGATGGCAAGCAAGCTGAATAAATGCAGCTGAATAGTGCAGCGCTTGCTAAGTACGCTGCCTGCAAATTCAATTGTTAACCCAGACCAACAAGGCGGTCGACATGGTACATGTGCAACATCATCGCTGCAGTTTGTTTTTTGCATGTGTCCTTTCTTGCATTTCAGGCTTTGGTTCATTGTTATTCCTGATCGAACTGCACTTCGTGTGAACGTTGAACAGGTGTCTACCTGTCGAAAAATCGCCAGCAAGATTGTTCCCGCCCAGGGAGACTGCCAGACGTTACTTGGAGAGACAAGCTGCATGGTCCTCGTGATCGGGCATGCTGAAGGAGTGTACGCCGGCTCAGTTGACGAAAGATCGTTCCAATCCGCAGGAATCCCGGTCTTATTCCTTCGGGCTTACACTGAATATGGGGTGTGTGGATAAACATATGGGTAATGCACTTCAATACACCAATGGTCCATTCGTAGGCGCACGCATCGAGGCCACGGTGGCAGACGAATTCGGAACCGAATGCCATATATATATATATATATATATATATATATATATATATACACAGTTGATATCACCTGTCAATATCAAAGATTGCGCATCAATCGTTCTTTGAGAATGTGCACGTACCCAGGGCAGCAGATAACCGGACCGATGGGCGACGCAGAGAGCCAGAAGTGGACACTCCATCGCATTCGCATGCTGTGCGATCTCCCCCATCAGCTACGCAAAACAGACTGTACATATAGACGACAAGACCTAAGTGCACACTATTTTACTGTACCACTAGTTTATTTATCTTTCAACCTAGCAGTTGCATCACTATTGCTATATCGAGTTCCCTCGAATATGGGTGCCCAAGAATTAAGGCTCTCATGTCTAAATGTTGAAGAAAACATCAACAGTTCGTATTGGGTAGTTATTCTCGTGTCTGCGAAAGTGTTTGCCAGCGTGACCTCCAAACGAGACCCAGACACGTTTGTCGTACCACTAATCATGAGGTCTATTGTGTCTCTATCCAGTTTGTGACAGATCACACTTAAGTTTAGATAAACGCATGTGCATATGTTGTATTCGAACTGCCATTGGACAAGGATGACGTCAATCCATGTATAAATGTATGCCGAATGAATACGACGAGGATCCTCATACCAAATTTGTACGGCCAGTTTAGTGCTGGGAAGCGGCACTCGGGCAAACGGAAAATAACATTACCAGAACATGAAGAAGGTGAGTTTATGACAAACTCATGTTGATTACAGATGTTGCGAATCCAAAGCAAATTTTATCGATGCGAATTCCGTGGACTGCTCAAAAGGGCGGTTGCTCAGGTGCAGGACAAGGCACTATTGCACGCGGAATAGAAGCACCATGCGTACGCTCCCATTCGATTTCCCCATCTAGGCCAATAAGGCGGCGTATGTGGTACGTTTGGCTGCGTGATAAGTAATCTTGCATTTTAGTAGTAGATGTTGCTTGAACTCCCCGGGGTGACTGCGCACGTTGACAAGGTGCCTACATGTCTATTACCCACTACCTCGTCCATACTAGTTCCAGGAGACAGTTGTTTGTTGCTGGAGGGGACGAGGTGAACTGTCCTCGTGACGGTGATAGGCTCAAAGAGTGGTTCCATCATGTGTGGAACGCGCTACGGTCCAGCCACCGCCATGTGTACGCCTGTTGTTCATGATTTCAAAATTATGCCGGAATGGTTCTATTCCGCATGCTGAAGGAGTGTGGGCCGGCACCGTTGATAAAACGTGGCACCCATTCGCATGCTTCCCGGTCTTTTTCTTTTGAGTATCAACCGGATATGGGGTGCGTGGGTAGAACTGTGGGTGGTGCAGCACAGGTCATCAATGGCCCTTTATAGCCGCAGACGTAATGTGATACTCCAAATGTGCAGGTAACAGTTACAGGCAAATCCGGATACGGACGCCGCCAAAACACACACTCACACACTTATATATATATATATATATATATATATATATATATATATATATATATATCCAAAGGCAGATGGTCTACCCACTGCTGCTACTGCTGTACCGCTGGCTTATGCCTAGGGCGCCTCCACGCGGCGAACGCTGGGTGGCAGCTGCGTTACCCACTTCCCATTGCTAACAACCAGGACACCAATCCGCATGAGTCAGTGAACTGACCATGTGCTAGACTCGCTGCCTTCCGAGTGTACATTTAATCGAAGGCTTTGGCTGAGGACCCGAGTCGTTCTTCTGTCAGGTGTGGGCGCCCTCCCAGTATCCTAGTCCATCCTCTTCGGAGGTTAGGAAGTGGTCGATGGCCCACTTCCCGTAAAACCTAGACATGGAAGACAACAGGTCTACGGGTTAGAAGCACACCGCTCGATTGGCGTAAACCACGAACGCCACGCATTGTCTCTGACAGTGGGAGGCCATCTCCGGGTGTCCAGTGGTTTGCTACTGAATGCCTCAAGCCAGGCAGTCCCTGGTCAAATTGGTGCAAACCCGCCAAAACCCACCTGCGTCTGGCCGTGGTCGCAGGTGCGTATGCTAATACGGTCGCAAAACGTATATGAATCGTTCCAGTACCTCAAAGGCTGCGTCTGACGGCCGTCAAGCAGATCCCAATCTGTCTCTGCAATCACATTCCCCAGCTGGATCTGCCCCACACTGACTTGTGGGTCAGGTTATTGAGCCAAAAGCTCCAGGTGGAGTCCCTCAAGCAAACCTCCGAAACACAACGACCACCTCGCGTGCGGTTGCCCACCAATGCACTCGAATGCCTGCGCGCAAAGCACTCAGCATCGGGTGCTGGAACGTGCGGACACTACTGGACCGGAACTCCAGCGAGGGCCCAGAGCGACGCACTGCACTCGTCGCGATGGAATCGGCACGCTACCACATCGATATTGGGGCGATCAGTGAAAGCCGGCTCGCTGAGCAAGGGAAGTTGCATGAACCAGGTGCTGGCTGCACATTCAACTGCACCACGTGATCATGGGGTCAGATTTGCAATATCCGATCGCCTACATAGCCATCTCGTGAGTGAACTAACATGAA